GACTGCAATTAATGAGCTCGCTCCCGCCGCTGTGCCAAATTTTAGCCCTGTTCTTTCGACTCTTCGTCGTGGTATTATAACATTTTCAAAGACGAGGCTACTCAAGACTTCCAAGTTTCCGAATTGAACCCGGGCTCGCTTTAAGATCAGGACTGGTCGCCAGTCTCCATTTGATGATTGGTGAGACTTTTTTTTTTCCTTCATAGTTTTTTTCTTCAAAAAAAATAATTTGGGCGACCCGCTGTTTGACTGCACGTTGGCCTCGCATTGCAGAGGTGCAGGGTTCGATTCCGGCACCGGGCTTCCTGTGTGGAGTTTGCAAGTTCTCCCCGTGCCTGCGTGGGTTTTCTCCGGGTACTCCGGTATCCTCCCACATTCCAAAACCATCCGTGGCAGGTTAATGGAACACTCTAAATCAGGGGTGTCAAACTCATTTTAGTCGCGGGCCATTTTAGAGTTACGTCTTCCCTCGGAGGGCCGTTTTGACAGTGAAACCACAAAATTATTACTTGTACACAACACATTAATAGATTGCTTGTTTTGAAATCAATCAAGTCAATTATAATAGTTTGGGAAACAGGGTAACAAAATTATTGCAAAATCTCAACATTTATTGCTCATGACAATGTGACATTTCGGTACAGATTTTAGCAAGTTGACACATGATTTGCTTTCGCGGGCCACATAAAATAAACGGGCGGGCCGGATCTGGCCCCCGGGCCTGGAGTTTGACACCTGTGTTCTAAATTGTCCCTAGGTGTGATTGTGAGCGTGGATGATTGTCCGTCTCTGTGTGCCCTGCGATTAGTTGGCAACCAGTTCAGGGTGTCCCCCGCCTACTGCCCGATGCCAGCTGGGATGGGCTCCAGCGCGCCCCGCGACCCTCGTGAGGAGAAGCGGATCCGAAAATGAAAATGAATGAATGGAAAGTCATGTGATGACAACCATCAGCGCCCTCTGTTGACAATCTGCCGCAAAACATTTTTAATGTGGTGACTCAGCCCCCCCCTGCACAGGATTGCAGACTCGGAGACCTGGCAACGTGATGGTCTTACTCATCTCGGCGCCGCTGGTTTGCTTCCTGACCGCAATGACGCTTTCCCCGATGACTCCACCGCCGCTTACGAGAGCAGACCTGTTTTGAGATTGCGTCAAACGGATGCCGTTGCGTTCTACGATCAAAGCCATTTTCAGTCAGGCCAATTGACACTTTTGGCTTGAATCTCAGTGACGCAGCGGTTTGAATTTTTGGGGCGAGAAAACTGGTCCGGACCTCTTCCTGATACGCACCAGAATCAAAGGCCGGACCTGGACACACCTTAGTGGTGGTGGCCAGAAAAATAGCCTCGCCCGCTCATCTTTCTGTTGACTAGGTGCTGGATTTTCTGTTTTGCTTTGCTGCCAAGCTTGAAGACAGTTCACCTTCTTTCCGTTCTTGAGTTGGGATTTTGCATTTGTGGTGGAGTCCCATTGATTGATGGCCGGAAGAAAAAAAAAACGCTCTTCTTTTGTGAAGGTGACAGCCACAGGGGTGGTGTACTGTAGTTTTACCATTGAGGCAGGCAAATGGAATTCCACCTCAGGCGTGGGCAAGCATTAGAAAGCACTTCAATGGTAGCATCCGAAAAGGCGGCGGCGGGGTTCTCGGGCGCACTCATTGAGTCATTGTTTTGTTTTTACGAGATCAAGTAAAGGAGCAGCCTGCCAAACCTCAAAACCACTCGAGCGTGAGCGGCTGTCAGGACGACGCGGAGTGATTGGCAACTTGCAAACTCCTTGATTATCTCTCCGCTTGAGAAACCCCTTTTTTTTTTTTTGCAACCTTCGATGACTGTTTCGGGCTTGGCTTCGTTCCTCACATTTTCTTTTATGCTCCTGTTAAATCACGCAAGCTCCGTTTGAGACAGCGTGAGAAGCGCTTAACAAGTTATTAAAGTCGCGATCGCATTTTTAACGTGCTTGAGTCTTGTAAATTTCCGGTGATTTCTTCCCCCCGGATGAGTCGTCCTCCCAATTGTTGCCTTTGATTTAAGGAAGTGTTGGCGCTTGCTATTGTCATTCCGCCCAAGTGGCTCACTCAATATTTAACGATGCTACTTGTTCTTTTGACTTTTCTGCACGTTTACGCAGTGTCGGATGTCTAGCGGTGCATCGTGAGTCATCTCGTTAAAATAAGAGGGGGGGGGGGGGAAAGGGTAACAAACAATTTTGTAACTCCCTTTTAACTAGTTAAGTGCCATTGACGGTGTGGGTAGTCGTTCCTAAATTCCGGTTGGTCCCTAATGATAACCGTATGCCACGATGTCGGGTTGACAGAGCCGGTTATTGCCGCAAAATAGAAAAATATATTTTTTTCCCTCTCCTTTTTATTTCTTTACAGAATACTTGTTACTTGGATTACTGGATAAATGTATATATCTTTTTTCCTTTTAATTTTTTAAAAGAAAAATCATTCAAAAACAACAGGACAAAGGAACTTTTTTTATAGTTTTGCATTTCTTTTTTTTTTTACTTTTCAAAAAAGGTAAAATGTCAGAGGAAAAAAAAGGCGGATTTATATTTTATTGTCCTTTGCTCCTTTTTTTGGTTTTTCTTCTTTTTTTTCGGAAGAAAAGAAAATTGAGAAAAAATATGAAAATAAGAAAAATGACGGAAATGTGAAAAATTGCATCCATTTTTATTTCTTGACAATTTTTCAAAGAAGGAAAAAAAATCTTTTTCTCAATACAGAACTCCGCTTCATTTCTAGAACGCGATAACAGCAACTGGAACAAACCTCTGCATAAAACAAACGACATGCTCATAAATATCTAATTGTAATATTCTTTTCTAGTTAAGATATAAAAAGGTTCGAAAGTCCATTTATTTTAATTGGCCTCACTTTTATTGACTTTTTCTTCCAAAATGGACCTTCACTGTAACCTAGATGTGAATGTGTGGCCGATGCTCATTGCTAACTTTGGTCACTCCTCGCTAACTATCTCCCTCTCGTCTGCCTGGCCTTCTTTCAGGCTCCTTAGCCAACGGGCAGCTCAATGGCTCCGGATCAATGGGCGGCCAGAAAGATGGCGGCTCGCTGCACGCGGCGCGCCTGGACGAGGGCGGCGACTTCTGCGAGGACGGCCCGGCTAAGAAGAGGTGAGACGCTTGACGCCGCCGCGCCTGAGCCGCTCGCGCGCCCGCTATGGCAGGTGTGTTGTTGTTGTTTTTGTTCCGCATGCTGACAGGCCATCAAAGTGAAGGGGGTGGGGTCTCGGAGAGGTAGGGGGTGCTTCGGAGGAGGGGGGGGGGTGGGTGGCTTGTAGCAGATGTTCTTCAGTAATGAGCAGCCCCATTCAGCAGCACCTGCCTCTTTTCCGTCACATGATACTGTAAATGCGAACTCTCGCGTATGAGAAGAGAAGAAGAAGCCACTTGAGGCTTTCGTGCTGTTCGGCGTGGATGTGCATGACGCCGAGTTGCAAGGAATTTAAATGTCCTTCTTTTGTGTGTAAGGCCCAGTATGACAACGAAAGTTTGCTAACGTGCCAGTGTCACCTGCCTGCGTGACATTTGGTGGACTTTTGGTAAATGTGGTGTCACTTGTATCGCGCTTTTCTACCTCAGGTACTCAAAGCGCTTCACACCGTTACCTCATTCAGCTACTGGTGACGCAGCACTCGGGGCAACTTGGGGCCGGGGGAGGTCGGCATCTTGCTCAAGGATGCTTTGACATGGTTGCAATGGCCGGGGGGTGGGGGGGACGGACCCACCAACCACCGCGTTGGGGAAACGACCAGTGTGCCATGGCGCCCCTTTTCTATCCTGAGTTTGCCAACAAAAAATTCTGAAGAAGCCTTGCCCCGAAAAGACACTGGAAGTCTGCCATTTTGGTTCCAAGCAGCCATTAAATTGACCATTTTTGCCATTTACAGGCTTTTTTTTTTTTTTTAACTCTTTCATTCCACAAGACGTACTTGTCCGTCTTTTTAAAATTAGGCCCCGCCTACCAAGGACGTACTTGTACGTCTAAGTCTTTTTTTTTTTTGGTCATAGAGAAGTGGAGGGTCTGATGCAATCTGTGAATGAGGATAAGCCGTTTGCATTGTAAATCATGTAAAAAAAAGCGACCAGTAGGTGGCAGTGGTGCCTCACATGATTGAAATGCATGCTTTTACAAAAAGCTCTTTTTCTCCCTTTTTTTGCCCAGGAATCGCCATTTTCATGAAAGTTAGCCATTTTGTAATGCCGATTGCTGAAGAATGGAAAAAGATAGAAACAATTTTTTTTTCTGCTGAAAGACTTTATTTTGGTAGGTTCCATGTTTATATAGCATTAGAGCCAAATATTCTGTGGGCCTTGCAAGATCAGTCAAAATCCAGTAAAACGCTGGGATTGAGGGGGTTGCTCCAGTGAAAATGGCTGCGACTGAATGAGTTTCGTAGGCCTTTATTTGTTGTTCTTGGAGATTTTGTCCGATTGAAACCAAATTTGAACCCCGCATATCGGACAGATAGAAGACGCTAAATTGCATGCCTTTTGTCAATCGTGTGTAATGTAGCCAACTGAAGCCAGTTGCATTTAGCAACAAAGACATCTTTATCATGAGTTGACCCACAAAAAAAAGTCTCAAAGCCATGCCTGAAAAAAACAAGTTCAAAGTGGCCATTTGAGGGTCATTTTGGACATTTTCAGGATACTGGACAGAGCGACGACTCATTTGACTTTCACGTTCACAAACTGGCTGTAAAACACAAACCTCTAGGAAGCGGGGTCCACATGGTTCGAACCAAACGCCTTATGTGTGTGTGATTTTCATTCAATAGTTACTCCAAGTGATGTCTGACTGACTAAAAGAGGAAGAGTAGGTGACCTGGTGGGCTCCTATTGGCAGCCAAGAATAAACAATCCACCTTGTGTGTCGGTTTGGGGGCGGGGGGGGGGGGCGTCCCGGCGTTAAGGTGCAATCTGGACGTTCACGCTTTCCTTCTCTTCTTGGCAAGTTGGGTTCAGCTGGGGGCCACCCGGCTCGGCGCCTTTTCATTGTCGTCTCGCTCGCACGCATAAAGAGGCGGCCGGCGGCTCGCGCAATGAAGAAAAGGCTTTCTATCTGATGCTAATGAATCGGCGGGCGAGCCAAGCGCCTGGCAGCGGCCCTCTTAGAAGGAGCGAGGCTGCCGGGCGGCGACTGAGCCTACGCCAGCAGCTTTTTGCACCTGGCTTTGGCCTACAAAGGGAACGGATCACTGTTGTTTTACGCCGGCCGGGGGAAGACCCTCGCCAAAAGAGGGGACGGCGAAAGCAGAAGGACAGGTGCGAAGGAGAGTCGGGTTTTTGGCAGGAGACGGCAAACTTTCGAAGTCTTTTGAGAGCCCTGCCGTGTTTGCCTTCCCATGCTCCTGAGATTTGCTCAAAGACGAGCGGCGCCAACGGATCCTTTAAACACGGTGGGGCCTGTCGCAGACCGCCGCCGCCGCCGCCCAGGGCTCCGCCTGCCAAGTGCGCACCCGCGATGCCGTCTCATCCCTACCCATGTGATATTTTTTTTCCTGATCAATATAAGTTTTCCAGAATTTTTTTTTTTTTTTTTTTTTGGTAGTCAGTACCTAAAAGACCACCGCCGCCGCCGAACGCAACTTGAACTATTGGGCAGATTTCTGCAACTAGTTTTTGGAGTGGTCCAGCCTTGGCAACTTGTTTTGTTGCGAATTCTGGACTCTCCACTTCTATATCTTCCAGAACTTACCCAACCATTCTTTTGTTGTGTCTCTGCTGCTAGCTCGGAAGCAGGTACTGTACATTCATTCTCAAGTCAACTTCAACAACCCTCGATCCCACAGGACCACCTCGGCTAGAGAGAGACACCTCCAAAAAGTTACCCCCCACACCTCCACCCAAAAAAAAAAGGGTGGCAAGTGTGTGAGGGGCTTATGCCAGCTGGTGGTAGGCACCTTTTGGCGGATCTAACGTTTCCTTACCACTTAACTCGAAACATCCCCGTACTTGTACCTTATTAGTCCATCAGTTGCTGTCGCAGGAATCCATGTTCACGCGGCCGTTGCCGCTTGCCGCATTGAGATAAGGACAATCCGTGGCGAGCGGTGACATCCGCGCGCCGGACACAAACGAGTTCGATGAATACGCACAAGCAGGAAGTTAGCCTTCCCGCAACTCGCGCTTCTCCCAACCAGCCGACATTTTTGCTTTGTTTCACCCCGAAGTGATCCAACGATATTGATCGGCAAGAGCAAGGAAATGAGGTCTACTTTCTTATCACCGCAATGCGAGTACAAAGGCGTTCTGGTAATGTGTGAAACTTCCCTCAAAACCGTCTAGGAGGATTTCAACGCTGCTAAATGTTTTTCCCCCGCACTTAAGATTTTTTTTCTTTGGCTCCAAGGTGATATTTCCGCAGCGCAAGCTTCTCTCTTCACTTGTTTGAAACGTGATGTGTGTCCATATACTAGTTCCCCCCCCATCCGTCTTTGCTTCTCCTGCCACTGAAAACCGTTTTTGGCTCCTTGCTCAGCCAAGACACACACACACACACACACACACACACGCGCGCGCGTGCGCAGGCTCACTCAGCTGCTGCCGCTTGTTTTGTTTCCACTTAATGAATGTTAAGTGCACACACACTCGCTTGTCGAGCGCAAGAAATATCTCTTGTCGGTATTGTCGAATTTCCATTGAAGAGGGATTAAACGCGCGCGCGCACGCGCATGCACGGCGAGAGCCGTAATGTGTCTCTTGATTTACTTTAGGTGGTACTACATTGAAATGGAGCGCTTGAGTGACTCCATTTCATGTTTCCGCAATTAGGGGCCACCTCTCTAATGGATGCCAGACCCCAAAGAGTCGCCGGCTGGTGTTCGCAGGAGCAACTCAACGCCTTGCCTCAAATAGACGAAACTATTTTCTCATTATTGTGAATAAAACAAAACAAAAAAAAATACACACACACACACACACACACATGCAGATGTTCGATCTTGAGGGAACAAAATCCTGCAAGGCTGCCGCATGGTGAGTGAAGAGGCAGACATTTACGAGACACTTCATGAGCATTTGAATGGTTGAGGATCCCCAAAAAAAAATCCCAAAAGAAGAAAGCCAAACAAGGTCCCCGAAAGAATAAAAAAGAAAAAGACATGAACGTACAAAAAATGTGATTTGACGTAACAAATCAAAACTGCGCATCCAGTAAGGACCAAAGCAAAGCCGACGCGACTCTGGGAAGACGTGACTCACGGGGACAGAAGCGGCAAACGCAATGATCCGACAAAGGCGAAAAGAAAGCGGAATATGTGTAGAAAACCTACGCAGGCACGGACGGGGGCGAAGACGCAAACTCCTCACAGGAAGGCCGATAATGGAAACGGTACGACTCAAGCGTTTGCTTGCTACGTTTGCAGTCGTCATCGTGTTTGTCGTGCGTGCGATCTGCTTCAATTTGTCGACTAAATATTTGTCATTGTTTTCATTTCCTCTCGGGCCGACGGCGAGCTAACGACGCCGCTAGGGTGCGTTAAGATTTTGAGTCATTAACTGCAGGATCGTGGCAGTGTTTTTTTTTGTTTCGTTTGTTTATTTATTTTTCCCTCCCATAAAAATTTCTTTCTCGTCGGCGATGTCAGACAAGGCCAAGGCTGGCAAGCTCCGTGCTACGTCAACACCAATCGGGAGGCATTCTCGCTGCCGTCCTTTCTCCTCAAGCGCTGCTGGCTTTTTGCCCAGGTGCCGTTTTTTTTCCTTGAGAGGGAGGAACAAGTTTGGCAAGCGACTCCTGTTTTTTTGTTTTTTTTTTGGTTGACTTTTATTTTGTTAGTGAAGCTTGCTACCTGCACCTTATTCTCATGATCTGACACTTGAATGTAGCTCAATGCTTCGCCTTCTTCCTGGAAACGCCACTGTTTTACTCCACGTGGCCCTTAGTGTCTTTTTGGATGCATGTTATGCTTTATATATTCATGTATAAATTAACATGAATAGTCCCACAATACTTTTTCCTTTTAAATTCTTAAGATTTATTTATTGCTTTTATTGTTTCATTGTGTTAACGTGTTATGCTTTATATATTCATGTATAAATTAACGTGAATAGTCCCCACAATACTTTCTCTTTTTAAATTCTTCAGATTTATTTATTGCTTTTATTGTTTCATTGTGTTAGTATTAACATTACTGTTCATTATAAAATAACATTTACCGTATTTTCCGCACTATAAGGCGCTTCACAGTATACGGCACACCTTCAATAAACGGCCTATTTTAAAACCGTTTTCATATATAGGGCGCCTGGCACACCTTCAATGAACAGCCTGTTTTTAAAACTGTTTTCATATGTAGGGCGCCAAGAATAGAAGCAACTAAAAGCATAAAAGCTACAATAGTGGCTGGGGGTGCGGTATGTGTCCCCTAGATGTTACAGAATATTTTTTAAAAACGACATCCAAGAAAGCAGAATATTGATCCACATCGAAGGCACATCGGATTTTAAGGCGCACTGTCGACTTTGGAGAATTTAAAAACTGCATCGAAGAAAGCAGAATATTGATCCATATCGAAGGCGCATCGGATTTTAAGGCGCACTGTCGACTTTGGAGAAAATTGAATGCTTATAGTGCTGAAAATACTGTCTTTAGATTTTTGTTTTCCATTTATGCTGTTCAGATTTCAAATGTATTTATTCATTTCTTGACATTTTGAATTTTCTCCTCCGCGTTTTCCTGTGTAGTGGCTTTCGAGACTTTGATTTTCACTTGGATTTGTTGTTGGTGGTGATTTTAGCTAAAATAAGCAACAATTTAATTATTAGACTTTATTTGTCGTATTTTTTCATTTGTTGTTTAGTTTGCTAAAATAAGCAACAATTTAATGATTATACTTTATTTGTCGTATTTTTTCATTTGTTGTTTAGTCGTTAGTTTTTAAATCTTTTGTATTTGTCACTCAAAAATCATTTTTTGTGCGCGCGCGTGTGTGTGTGTGTGTGTATATATTATTTTATATTTGTCGCTCAAAAATCATTTTTTGTGCGTGTGTGTGTGTGTGTGTGTGTGCAAGGAATGCGACAAAATATCTTGCCTTTTGCGATTAGTCAGAATTTTTTGTTAGCTCTCTTGTTTTCGGTTTTTGTATTTATTTTGATGTTAGTGGTGCAACGTCTGGTGTACCTAATGTAGTGTCTGCTCAGTTATTCACAAGCAAGCACGCACACCTCCCACCTGGTGCTCCTGACCTTTTCGGCGGTCCAGAAAATCGTCGGAATTGACACCGCGCCGCTCCCTGATTGAAGCCTAATGGCGAGTTTGGCACCTTTTGGCAGGTGGTGGCCGCGGCAAATGCGGCGCGGTGGCCCCCCCCAACACACGATTCGATGTTCCCATTCGCTCGTCAGCCTGGCAGAAAATTGACGGAGATGGATGTCATTGCTGCCGCGGTTACGGTTAAACGTCAGTGTCGCGAGCTGTGTGGTGAGACGGAGTGCGACAAGATCAAATGGGAACCCTGCAAATTCGCTGTAATGGAAGAGTTGCACTTCATCTCACTAAACCATTTTCTTTCTTTCTTTCTTTTTTTTTTTTTTTTTTTTTAACACAGTAACCATTAAAGGCGGCCCGGTGGTTGACTGGTTAGCACGTCGGCCTCACAGTGCGGAGGTGCAGGGTTCGATTCCGGCCTTCCTGAGTGGAGTTTGCATGTTCTCCCCGTGCCTGGGCGGGTTTTCTTCGGGTACTCCAGTTTCTTCCCATATTCCAAAAAACATGCAGGGGGGGTTAATGGAACACTCTAAATTGTCCCGAGGTCTGAATGTGAATAGTTGTTCGTCTGTGTGCCCTGAGATTGGCTGGCAACCACCCCAGGGCCCCGCCTACTGTCCAAAGACAGCTTGGATAGGCTCCAGCACGCCCCGCGACACTTGTGAGGAAAAGCGGATTAGGAAAAAAAAATGGAAGTAACCATCAAAAGCGGAATATTGGCGATGAAATCAGAGCAGATGCAACAAAGGCAGTATTGAGTCCATGTGAAAGGGAAGAGCAGAATGGAGGAAGACGAATGTGAAGTTGAGCACACGGTGCACACGCCCGCCGCCATGTTGTGTTGTAAGCAAGTGTGTCTGTGTTAAAAACTGCACGAATGTGGCACACAATCGCCTTTGCCGGGTTCGGTGTGGAAGACAAAGATGACTTCAAATGGAAGGTGCAAATTTTCCACTTCCAAGCTGCATGTAACTAAACCGCACGCACGCACGCCCATGTGAACACACATCGCTCTGTGCTGGCTATAAGTAAATCACGCTTTTTTTTTTTTCTTCCTCTCAGGCCTCGGCTGCAGGCGCAGAGGAAGTTTGCGCAGTCACAGCCCAACTCGCCCAGCACCACGCCCATCAAGGTGGCTGAGCCCACCGGCCTCAACGTGGGCCAGGCCACCCCGGCGCCCGCCGCCACCACCACCGCCGCCGCCTCCAACGCTGCCGCCGCCTCTTCCTCGTCGCTGTCACCGTCGCTTGCCGCCTCGTCGCTGTCGTCATCCATCCAGGACCTGTCCCGACGAAAACCCAAAACGGAGGACTTCCTCACCTTCCTCTGCCTCAGAGGTAGGACGGCTGCCACCTGCTGGACAGAATTTAAACGATTTACAATGCAGATGAGCCCGATCCTTAGTCAGAGGCTGCGTCTTCACACGATGGCACCAAAAAAGGAAATGACGTATAAATACGTCAATGGTAGGCGGCCATTGTGGATTTATACGCCATGAGGATTGAATGAGTTAAATGCTGCTTTGCCACTGGGATATTTCCACTCTGCTGCTAGCAAGTATTTATAGACTCAGGTTTAGTGTGTGCGCACGCGCGTGTGTGTGTGTGTGTGTGTGTGTGTGTGTGTTTGTTTGTGCGTGTGCACACGAATGTATGCGCGTGTCCTCCGTTCATGGTGTACAGGTGACATTTCCTGCATAGAGGCTTAGCATGACGGCGGCTACGCGGGAGAATGTCAGCACGGCCCCCGAGCTTCAGATGCTACAAGGCTCGGGGGACTCGTTCATGTCACATGACCACCAGCAGCCTAAGATAGTGGTGCTGCGTGTCTCCGCTATATCGCACTTCATCTTCACCGCTTCAGTGTGCGGGACATGGCTCAGTGGTAGAGTGGTCGTTTTCCCAACCCAGAGGTTAGTGGTTCCATTGCGACCGTGTCGAAGTGTCCTTGAGCAAGATACTGATACATTTTTCCCACCAATTTTCTGTCGCTACCTTTCACGCAGAAAAGCGACGGGCAGTGTCCTAACTAAATTTTGCACCACTCAGAATGTTGTCGCTGCATGTGCGTAACGTCCTTTGGGATTATTTCCCCCTGCTGATCAAGAAGCAGCTGTTGTTGTTGTCGTTTTCCTGCGGGGGTTGCAAGTAATTGGGGGGTGTTTTTGTCCTGATGCAACGCGGGAGTAACTGCAAAGTCCCTTCCCAACTCGGGCGTTGGTGTGTGTGAAAGCCAATTGTGGGCCGTCGCCTGGCTGTCTGCCGCTAGTGGGCATGAGTGTGAACGCGTTATTTGATCGAGGCGATAAGGTTAGACGACGACGAGTCTCATTGTGTACACGCGCTCCTGGAAACCGTACGCCTTCCGCAAGAGCGGCTGCCATTTTGTGCCTTAGTGTTAGCTTGCGCGTCGTGTTCAAGAGGGAGGGGAATGGGCGCTAAGTGGAACTCCCACCTTGGGTATACTGTGTCCACAGTATACCCAAAAATCTTTAGTCATGAAGGATTTTTTATTATGTAGCACTTTTGACTTGGGAGGATATCTTTTCCTGTTTTTGTTCAGGCACTAGATTTTTGTCAGAAAATGTAGACTTCTGATAGTTGGTGTTTATTTACGTCATTGTTTTGTTTGGGGCTACTCTCTACCCTGGTCCCTGTAAAAGTCTGTCTGTCTGTTGAATCCTGCCACTTTGGCTCATAATCCTCCCCGGTGCGCCTGCGTCGACGAAAGCCCCGCGCGAAGGCTACGCTGTCACATTTTTTGACCTCCATGTAAGGGAAGAAAAGAAGGGAGCTGGAGAAACTGGAAGGTTTGGTAATTATCAACCTGGCCCCCATCCCTCACCCTAGAGTCGCGTTATAAATGACAACACTAATAAGACTCTTTCAGGCCTAATTAGAATTTGATCGCGGCTGCGATGGGAACGCATGAAAAGTTGCCGCCATTGGGAGGATTGCTCCCGAGAACCGCCAGAGAGCTCGCTTATGGTCTTCGTGCTGTTTGTTTGTGCGCGTGCGTGTGTGTGTTGGGGTAGCTCCAGTAAAATTAGTTGTTCTTCGCAGAGGTTAAAGAATATATACCTTAGAGTGTGGTTATATTTATTTTTATTTTTTTTATATTGTGGTTATATTTATGATGTGATTCACCCTTTCGGTGACAGCGGTTACTGCAGTGGACAACTTATCATGTTATGAAAGAGTTCAAGGTAGTGATGCTATTCGTTAGCCCGTCTATTGCATTTTATAAGGTGTGTTAGCATGATGCTAAACAATCGAGGCGATGTGCTCGCGTCAAGCGCTGTTCCACATCAACATTTTTTTCCCAAACAAAACCTGACCTCTTCTGTTTCCTGAGTGGGAGCAGGCGAATGCTCTTCGTCACTGGCGTCGATAGATGGAATTAATCAACAATCATTCTCAGACAAATTCAATGAAATTGGTTCCTTTCTGGTCAAAAGGCCTCCTCCGTCCCACACCAAAGGCCCCCGACTGCCTCCGTGGCCTGTTTGCCATTGACTTGCTGACCCCGGGGTCAGCGCACTAAATTACAACCGTTTAGCTAATGAAGCCAGTCATTAAGAGACTGATTTGGGTCAGCGTGCGTGTGCGCGCCTGCCTTTGTTTAGCGGCTCTGTGAGTCCTCGTCAAAGAGACACGAGGCTTCAGCACACTTCAATTCATGCTTTCAAATAAGTCACCATTTGGCAAGAAAGAAAAAGAGATTCTGCCCGGCAACAAGTGACCGCCAAACCAGGAGCTCAAATGCAACCAATCAGACGTCTGACGTTGCCTACATTCCGCTTGACGGACGGCGCCATGCGTTTTTGTTTGTTTCGGCAGGTTCGCCGGCATTGCCCAACCACATGGCTTACTTCGGCAGCTCTCAGGAGGAGGAGGACCTCGGGGAGGTGGAGGATAACGACAACGACGAGGAGCTGAGGAGCAGCGGCGGCTGCGGGCATTTGCACAGCGTGCCGAGCGGCGGCGGCCACGCCTCCTCCTCCTTCTCCTCCTCCTCCTCTTCTTCATCCTCCTCCTCCTCTTGCCATTCCACGCCACGCAAGGGCAAGCCCCTCGCACGCCAACCCCTCAACGGCCACGGTAAGAGAAAAAACAGTTTGATCTTCTCCTCTTGATCATGCTTTGGATCAAATGAAAAGTACACCCCCAAAAAAAAACAAAAGAGAGGTACATATTTTCCAATGGTGCTCAACTTTGTGTTGAGGATCAAATGTAAAAATAGCTTTGTTAATATTGTATCACTGTTCTTCAAGTCTTGAATATATTTGAAAAATGAACAATTGGGACATGAACGGTTTTTATATGTTTTTATGTTTTGGCTTGAATGAAAAAAAAAAAGAAAATGGGTTTTTCAACTATTACTTTTGATCACGTTTTAGGTAAAAACCAAAAAGCTCATTCAAAAGATTCAAACGTTTTTTTTTTAAGATCTTACTTTTAAACAAACTATCTTTTTCTATGTAGATTTTTGTTTTCTAAGTTTTCAATTTGCTTTTTCAAATATGAGTTGTCTTCATGTTTTGGGGAAAGGGAAAATTAATAAATTTGTACAAAACAATTTTTCCAGCTCTAACTTTTCTGGGAGGGGCAAAGACTTTATATTACGTTTTGTGTGTTGAAAAATAGAGCAAAAAAAAAAAAAAACGTATAGTACCGTATTGTCCTCACTATGAGACGCTTCGGATTATAAGGCGCACCTTCAATGAATGGCCTATTTTAAAACTGCTTTCATATATAGGGCGCTCCGCATTATAAGGCGCATGGAATAGAAGCCACAATAGTGGCTGCACTTGCGTTACACATCCACTAGATAGCGCTATGCTAAAGGGAATACAATACAATACAATAAAACTTTATTTATCCGAAGCGTTCACAACCGCTGCAGCTGTAACAAAGCGCTTTACAAAACATGTAAAATACTACGTCCAAGAAATCAGAATCTCGATCTATGTAGAAGGCGCATCGGATTAGGAGGCGCACTGTCGGCTTTTGAGAAAATCGAATGCTTTTAGGAAAATGCAGTACAAGTTTTCCAAATACGGCTTTTCGATCAGAGCAAAAATGGGAAAATGTGGAGATGCATCCTTTACAAAAATGGCTTTTCTTTTCGTGTTTTGATGAATAACAAAATGGTGCTGCATGTTTTTAATGGTAACTTTTCAGGAAAAAAAAATGAACAAAATGAATTCTGCACATCCACGTCATGATTTTGTCTGATGGAATTTTGACTAACGAGCGCGTCTCTCTCGTCGTCATGGGCAGTGCTGACCAACCACAGCAAAGCGGGCATGCGGGAGAGCCCTCGGCCCAAGGCGGCGCCTCCTCCCCCTCCTCTTCCGCCGCCGCCACCGCCGCTCCTGAGGGAGCGCAGCGAGCGGGCCGAGGCGCGCGAACACGTCAGGATGTTGCAGGCCATGGCCGGCGCTAACGCTAGCACCGCCGCCAAAGGCCTGTCCATCAGGAGGGCCGCCGAGGAGCTTCGCAAGCAGGTCAGACCAAAAAGTGCCACCGTATTTTGGAAGTAGGTGTCTTTCAAAAAAGAAATCATGTGGCCTCCATGCTCCTTGCAAGTATGTTCATTTTGCCTTTGTATGTTGTGTTGTCTGCTTTCGTTTCGTTGTGCATGTGGGTTCATCTGTTTGATTGACTGCCAAGTGTTGTGTGTCTCTTGTTGTGTGCTGGTGTATCCAGTGTGTGTCTCTGGGTGTATGTCCATTTTGCGAGTCCACGTGTTACTTTGCGTACCTTGAAAGCACCCTGTTGTGCTTCTACCCAAGCATCTACCGTCTTCTTGGTCGTCTTCTTTTTCTTCTTCTCGTGCTGCTGCACACGTTCGCAGTCTGCTTGCCAGGTGCCAGCTGGGCAATAGCGACACATGATGTTATATACATACTCCCAACCTCCCTTTCTCGCTCTCTCTCAGCTAACTCCTTGCATCCTTATTTTTGACGGGAGGGAGGAATTTCAAGCTTGCTCAGCAAAAAAAAAAAAAAGAAGAAAGAAAAAAAAAAGTGTGATGACGTACGTAATCAAGAGCAAAAATTTGGGGGGTCCGGGGCCCCCTCACGGCAGCAACATTTCTCGCAGCCCTAATCTCTCAATTAGGGCTGTGCAGTATGGCTAAAATTTCATGTCTTGATATTTTTGCCAGATGTCTTCATAATGATTCGATAACAATTTTACTCTGAGTTTGGTAAAGATTAAGCATTTAACAAAGAAAAAAACAAAAAAGTAATCCAATTTAATTAGAACTTACTGACAGCAATCAACATTAACAAAAAAAATTTAATCCATATTGAACTGCCACTGTGCTTCAGTAATAAATAACAATTTTACAAAGTGTTGGCGTGTGTGCGTGCGTTAATTGCACCAACATGTCTTTTATTCTATACCAGCCCATTCAATTCGCTGTGTTGACACATTTGTTTGTTTGCAATCAGCGTGCGTGTGTGTATGGTTTTTAAAATGTAGAAACATCCAAACTGTAAGATTAGATTTCTAACTTCCTGTTTTGTTGTCATATTCTCCAAATATTATTGGTCTTCGCTGCGCAAATGACAGTAATTCGGCCTAGCAACACTACTTCCCGTGTGCAGCCGTGATGCTAACCCCCGTCCAATCTTGGCCTCGATCAGGTCTCCAGAGTGAACGGGCTGACGCGTCTGAGCGCCCTGCAGGCGGCCGCCAAGAGGAGCCGCGACTTCCGTCTGCCGTCCAAAACTGTGAAGAAGTACACGGCCACCGTGTCCAAGGGCCACGTCACCTACACCAAAGCCAAGCAGAGGGAACTGGGCAAGAAAACCAAACTCAGCAGCAGCAGCAGCAGCAACAGCAACATGGCGAACAATCACAATCAGCACAGCCAGCCAGCAGCCAGCAACAGGCTGACCTACTCAGGAAAAGCAGCAGCAGCAGCGGCCTATCACAGCAATGCAAAAACCCGCAAACAGGTGCTACTAGCCAAGGGGCTGCACGGGGGCGACCCCGCTGCCGCCTCCCGCCTCAACGGGAGGCTGAACGGGCTGCAGCACAACAACAGGGAGGACGGCCACGGACACGAGGGCGACTTCCCCGGGCGAGAGGGTCTGCGCAACTCCAAACGGCGCCTGGAGGTGGTGCTGCACTCAGTGGAGGCCAGCGTGCTGAAGGGCGGCCAGGAGCCCAAGAAGGCCAAGCTCCAGCCTCCGTCGCCGCCGCCGCCGCCGGAAACACGCAGCGGCAAGAAGGCGGGCCCCATGCGGTCGGCCACCCCCACCACCCCGCTCTCAAACGGACGCCTTTCCGAGCCGCCGCCGCCCCCCGAGACGGAGCCGCCCGCCCTTCCGTCATCCACGCCCCTCGCCCAACAATCCTCGTCCACACCAGCAGAGTCGGTGAACCAGCGGCCCAAGCGGGCGTCGGCCGGCAAGCTGATGTTGATCCGACAAGCACAGCAGCAACTGAGCAGGTCTCACGGCCGCGCCGCCGCAGCCTCTTCCTCCCCCTCGTCCGGCCACAATCACTCCCGCGCTCCCGGGCACGGCACTACCTCAGACCCCCGACAGGCCGCCGGCGCCGCCTCCCCGCTCGCCAACCGGTCGGGACCGCTCAGGCCCCCGCCGACGGGGCGGCTGGCGGACCGCGACAAGGAGTGGGAGCGCGAGAAGGAGCTGGCGCGGCAGAAGGAGCGCGAGCAGGAGAGGGAGTGGGGTTCTCGGCGGAGCCGTCCCGAAGGGTGGGCGGCGCTGGGCGAGGTGCCCGTC